TATTTTTATTTTTTTCTTTTTCTTTTTTTTCTTTTTCTTCTTTATCTGTCTCTTTTTTATTTATTTCCTTTATTAGTTTTAATATTTCACACGCAGAAGGATAAGCAGCAACACGAGACAAAGAATGCAGGCAGCAAGCTGTCTCCTTCCACGCCACCCACAAATTCGAAAAACGGGGGGCCCCCGTACCCTCCAGGGGGCCCCCAGTACCCTCCAGGGGCCCCCCTGTACCCTCTAGGGGGGCCCCCGTACCCTCTAGGGGGGCCCCCGTGCCCTCCAAGGGGGCCCCCGTGGTCTCCAAGGGGGCCCCCGTACCCTCTTGGGGGGCCCCTATACCCTCTAGGGGGGGACCTGTACCCTCTTGGGGGGCCCCTGTATTCTCCCTGGGGGCCCCTGGTTGAGATACTGCGGGGGGAGGAGGGGGGGCCCCTGTGTTAACCTCAGCAGACGGAGACACTGCATCTGCTGCTGCTGGTGCTGCTGCTGCTGCGGAAGCATGCGCTGCATGCGGTGCAGCAGCAGCAGCAGCAGGAGCAGCAGCAGCAGGAGCAGCAGCAGCAGCAGCAGCTGCTGCTGCTGCTGCGCTGCCAGGGGCCCCCCGCACCCCTCCAGCAGTACTATCCTGTAGGGGCCCCTCCATTCGTTGCTGCTGGCCCTCGCAGCTCCGAAGAACTGCTGCTGCTACTGCTGCTGCTGCTGCTGCCCCTGCTGCTGCTGCTCCTGCTGCTGCTGCTCCTGCTGCTGCTGCTCCTGCTGCTGCTGCTGCTGCGGTTGCTGCGGTTGCTGCTAGCGGGGTGGGGGGCCCCTAGGCAGACGGGTAGNTGCTGCTGCTGCTGCGGTTGCTGCGGTTGCTGCTAGCGGGGTGGGGGGCCCCTAGGCAGACGGGTAGCAGCAAGTAGGCTTGGAGGTGAAGTACACCTGATAGGGCCCCAAAGTCAAGTGTTTAGGGTTTAGGGTTTAGGGTTTAGGGTTTAGGGTTTAGGGTTTATGTGTGTGTGTGTGTATGTGTGTATGGAGGGCCGGGGGCGTGCAGCTTGTTTCCCCTTTGTGCGTTTTCTTATTCCATTGAAAAGTAAATAAAAAATAAAATAAATAAAAATAAATAAAATAAAATATTTAAATATAAAAAGGATAAACACGAGACAGCTGGGGGCCCCTCTGCATCCTGTATGTAGCCTGTCGGCTGCGGTGGGGCTCTCGGGTGTATAGGCACCTATTTGTCTCTTTTTTGTTTATTTTTTTTGATTAAGAGTGCAAAATTAATATTAATTTATAAATATTTTATTAAATTTCAATTAAAAACACAAAAATAAACAAAAATTTATGACAAAACGTTGCAGCTGCTGTCTAGCGGGGGCCTGACCCCCCGCCCCCCAACCGACCGCCGTTGGGGGCCGAGGGGGCCCCCATAGACCAGCGGCTTTGTTTGTTGTTTATTTATTTGTTTTTATTTTATTTAATTATTTATTTTAATTAATTTTATTTATTTATTTTATTTATTTATTTATTTGCAGAAATTAAAGCGGCTAACTGATGGATACAACGGAGGTATGAGGCGGGGGGGCCAGCATCAGGAGGCCCTGAGGCCTCACCGTAGCTAGCTACAGCTAGCTACAGCTAGCTACAGCTAGCTACAGCTAGCTACAGCTAGCTACAGCTAGCTACAGCTAGCCACAGCTGGCTAGAGAGAGATACAGCTAGATAGAGAGCGCTACAGCTAGCTACAGCTAGCTACAGATAGGTAGAGCTAGCTACAGCTAGCTAGAGCTAGCTAGAGCTAGCTGCAGCTGGCTACAGCTAGCAGCCATAGCTAGTCGTATTTATTAATAACTAGCAATAGCTAGCCGCAGCTAGCCGCACTTCTGCATAGCTAGCCATAGTTAGCGCTAGCTAGCTACACCCAGACCCAGCTAGCCATAGCTAGCCATAGCTAGCCATAGCTAGCCATAGCTAGCCATAGATAAACACAGCTAGCTACAGACAAGCATAGCTAGCTGTACCTATTCACAGCTAGCTGAAACTCTCTCGGTTTTTTTGTTTAACTTATTAAGAGGGTTTAGTATAGGCAGAAGGAGAAATAAATAAATAAATAAAATAAAGACAAAGACAAAGACAAAAAGAAAAAGAAAAAGACAAAAAGAAAAAGAAAAAGACAAAGACAAAGAGTAAAGATGCAAATTATTTGTTTATTTATTTGTTTATTTGTTTGTCTTCGGTTGCTTGTCTTCGTTTGTTTGTCTTTGTTTATTTGTTTATCTTTGTTTATTTGTGTATTTGTTTGTTTATATATACATATATATATATATATATATATATATATATATATATATATATATATTTATTAC